AGACCGGAACACATATTTCTAATATAATACTTGACTGCTTAGCTGATCATGAAATACCAAAAATGGATTACAGACTCCAAGGATATGAAAATGGGCCCAACATGACTGGTGATTATAATGGTGCTCAAGCTCTATTACTAAAAGTTAATCCCATGGCTAATTTCTCACCATGTGCTTGACACAGGGTTAATCTTTGTGAATCGCAAGCAGCAGAAAGTTATACAGAGCTCATACATTCTTTGGAATAGTTCAAAAGCTTTACAACCTATTTAGTTGTAACCAACAGCGATGAAACATTATTCTCAAGAGTATAGGCTGTTCTATTCATGGACTTTGGGGAACACAATGGACAGACAAAATGGATAGAGTCAGGCCTTTTCCAGCTCATCTTCCTGGGATTCTGGATGCACTAGCAGAAATTCTTCACCTTAATCTTACATCTCAAACAAAAACTGAAGTCAAATGTCTAACTAACTATATGCAGTCCTTTTCACGCATCTTGATGGCTGGAATCTTGTTAAAAGTACTTGTGATCATCGATCAACGCGATCAAGTATTGTAGGCCCGCAAAGCTACCATTGATATTGAACTGTGCAGCATTGAAAGTCTGTTGACGAATTTAAAAATCCTGCGTGAACAGTAGAGCTTAATTCTTAATTAAGCTAAATTGGTTAGAAATAATATGAATCTTCTGACACAACTGTCTGCATAACGGAAAACAGTTCCCAAGTATTTTCTTTATGAAAATAAAGATGCCGCCATACCTAATGGTGAAGAAAATGAACCTATGGAGGAGACAAAATTCAAATAAAACATATTTTATAAATAATAGGTACTGTTATCGCTGGGCTCACTGCAAGATATAGAACAGCCATGGATATTAATCAGACTTTTTATTTTTTATGGCAATATATAGGTATGTCAGAGAATGATCTACATTCGAAACTAGGGATGTTGTTGCAAAATATAAATCTGATATGTCAGATGACTTAATGGAAGAAAAGAAACATCTAAAGGCCATCCACACAATTAAGTTTGATGATACTGCTTTAAAATCCTTTAGGTCTTCTAAACAAACTACACAAATTCCAGCTACGTCCATTTTTCCCAAATGTTTCTGTAGCCCTTTGCATTTTTTTACACAATTTCAATCACAGTCGCAAAAGGGGGTAGATCTTTTAGCAAGCTGAAACTGATAACAAATTAACTGTGCTCCACTACTGTCTAAAACCGACTGACGTATCTGAGAATCTTTACAATTGAAAACAAGTTAGCCAGTACTTTGGATTTCAGCAGAATCATTGATCACTCTGCCAGACAGAAAGCAAAGAAAGTATACTTCTAACAACGAAAATCAGGCAGTAAACAGTTGTTTAGTCTAATGATGATAAACCCATTTATGTATTACAATAGAAAAAACTTATAAACCTGATTTGTATTCAACCAGTCCTATCTTGTTTTGCTATTAAATAACTGAAATGTTCAAGTGCAGTTAAGAATTGCTTTAATATATTCACCGTAATCAACAAGCATGAAACTCATTGCATGAGCATTTTTTCTCTTTATAAATGTTATTCATTTATTTAATAAAATTTTTTAGTTAGTATGTGATTTCCTTTTAGGCAGCAATGTGTTTGTGTATTAGTGCATTTGTCAATTATATGGTGATAGAATTAATCATTGGTTCCTTTAAATAATTTAGCCCATTTTGATGAAATGTTATTCATAGTGACTTGGACATATATTCAACTTGCTTGTCATGTATACAACGATAACAAAATATACACGATGACATACTGATTAAACATATCTTGTGTTACAAAATATGCCTAAAACTTCATATTTCCTCATTAATTGTTGTATTTAATTTAGGCAAACTAGTGACTTACAAATCCACACTAACACTGCTCTTACAAATCCTCAAAGTACGATATCCAACTGCAAAATCTATAACAAAAACATAGTAGGTTATTAGAATACATATGTCATGGTAAATCTATCAAGATGATATGTAATAGTGCAGGCTTTTAATCCAAGCTTGGATAAATTTCTCTATTAAGGAATAAGAATTTTCATCTTGTTGACAGTCAGTTTGTACACGCATATCTGGGTCTGGGGGAGAGGGCTACATATAACAATCCTTTTTTGGAGTCTGGGGCAGCTCTAGGCGGCCTTTAGTACTGGTGTGCCTCAAGGATAACTACCTTCATCAGTCTTCTTCAACACCTACATCATGGGCCTAGCCCGTATTGACTAGATGCTGTGTGCTAACCACAGATCTAGCCTGCCTTGGTCATGTGCTGTGTGCTAACCTGTGTTGATGACATTCTGGTGTACAATAGAAGCTCGAGCAAAGATGAAATCGAAAGCAAGATGGAGCCACCTCTTAGCAAGGTGAGCAATTAGTTCAATGGCATGAGAATAATTAGCAATCCTGCCACACTCATGTTTTGCACACTTAACAACAGACATGCTGATGAGGCCAAACCATCACCACCTTTTTTTAGGCACTGCCATCTCTCTGGAAGAAATACTCTAGAATGTATGGGTAACCTATTCAGACACACACGACTCTAACCAGAGCTACCAAAGTCATCAATGCACATAAGGTTTCAGTAGGAAATAGAGCTGAAGAATATCATTTGCTTATGCTTTAACAAAGTCTTATCTGCTATATTCTAGATTATTTGGTGCTGGTGATCAATAAAAGTGCAACACAGCTAGATAAGATTGAAAAAAATACAAAACACGTGTTTAAGACTGGTCTCGGGATGTATCTTCAGTCTATTACACCTCACAAGCCTCAACAGTATCACAGAGTACCAACAGCACTTCCAAGCAAACTTTTTCACTAGGAATTTGCAGTGTAAAGATCATGCAATCTAACATTGTGCCACTGTCGTTTTTAATTGGATCATTACATTTCCACAATGCCTCTGCAGACACCAACCCAGCAGGGTAATGTCTAAAAGGTACTTCAGGAGATAGTAACAGGTGGACACCATTGATATAATTGTTCAATACCAGATTGCATGTACTCTCATGTGGAAAATCATCTGGCATCAGTAGAATTTTTGGAAATCAGCCTGGACAGAAATTTAGATATTAGGTAGAGGGTAAAGCAACACAAGAATGGAGATGGAATCTATAAAACAAGGTTTCCTCTGGATTTCTGAAAGCAATGAACCACAAATGTACAGTGCACCAATATTATTTTGCAACTGAATCATAGACTATACTATATAATATTCAGAGTGATTGAATATGGATGTCAGAAAACAAAGCAATTGTATGGTAAGATCATCACATGGATGGATGTGTCAGACTTTACAAGACTTAAGCTAAATGAGAAAGCTCATTAGAGAAGACGCTACATAAAATCGAGCACAATTGTATTAACTTGATATTAACATCCCCTGTGCTTGTTAGGCAAAAATGGTATTCTCAGCTTGCCTTGATTTTGCTCAGTGTATGTATGGGCTGGATCTGCAGAACAACAGAATTGACAGATACTGTATTCTGAAAAGCGTGCCTGAATTTCTCTTCCTTTTAATGGAATCTGACTTGCAAAAAAAGAGTGGACACAAATTTGTTCACAATAGCAATATTTTTTCACGACCCAAAATATAAAAAGTGTGCCTTTCACAGGAAAGCGTTTTGTTTATTTGTACATTTACATCAAATGATTTGACGTTTTTTATTTCTAGGACAAAAGTCTACAGGTAAGTTTATCTAAAACCCTTAGTATATTCTAAGATTTATTTGTATCCTATTATAATTGAGAAACTCTGACATTATATACACAAACAAAACAAAGGCTAAGTTGTTCAGGGCATCTATGTCACTCAAGTGACTGTAGACCATTTTAGTTCAGTATAAGGGCAGGTTATACCCTTGAGACATCACACAATTAACCCACAGAAAAGACCACTGTGGCCCATTTTCATGTATAACTAAGTTGAGAGGAACTTAGTTCTGACTTTCTATATCGAAAGCTAAACATACTCGGTATGCATACAAATTTTGAAATGTTCTAAAGATACTCGATGCTGAAATAGATAGAAAATGCACTATATGCTTCCATATCACACTGTACTTTTCTCATTTATGTCAAGTTGTTCATTTGTTATGCCCCCAGATAATTCAGCGGTAAGTTTGGAGACTTATAAGGCTAAAATACTGTTCCGATACCTGCAGTGAACAGAGCACAGATAACCTATTGTTGCGTCAGCGAGGTCACGTGACTAGTATCACG